GTTTAGGGTTTGGGTTTAGGGTTACTAAATACAGCCCGATTTACACACAAAGCTGAAAGCAATTTGAAATTCCTCGAGAGCCCTAGAAGAGCCCTTAAGCCAAATCCCTCCACCCGTACATTCTACACCTACACCCGGCAGAAACTGAACCTACACAGTGCAAAAACTCAAAAACACTGTAAAAAGCATTCAAAAGAGTCCTGCAAAAGCGCCTCTCGCCGTCTTGAACCCGTCGACTTAACACCCCTAAAGCCCCAAACCCTAAAACACCCAAAACCCTAAACACATCAGCCCCGAAATCCCCGAAACTCCGAAACCCTAAAAAATGAAACCCCTAAAACCTGGAAACCCCAAACCCTAAACCGAAACCCCTAAAGACCCCCTAAAACCCTAAAACCCGGAAATCCTAAACCCTAAACCCTCAAACCCCCAAAAACCCCGAAACCCAAACATCTTCCGCCTCTCGGCGGCCCCGGACAGCGCTCGTGGGCCGACTTCGAGCCTTTAGAATTCGAACTTAGGGGTTTGGGGTTTGGGGTTTAGGGTTTGGGGTTTAGGGTTTTTAGGGTTTAGGGTTTGGGGCCTTAATCATGAGAATAGGGTTTTGGGGGCCCATTATACTATATATATATATATATATATATATAGTGTAAGGAACCCGTGAAATAATATTGGTCATTATTGAAGCCCCTATATTAGGGTTTGGGGCTCCTTTCTGGAATATTTCAAACAAGGAGCACTGAGGAATCATACTGGTAACTATTTTAAACTTGTCTATATGAGGCAAACTCTTGAAACATGGGCGCTGATTCAGGCACTTGGGGTTCAGGGTGAAGGGTTTAAGGTTTGGGGTTTAGGGCTGCGGGGTGAAAGGGCTTTGGGGGCTTTACAAGGGCTTTTATGCGGGGGGTTAACGGTTCAGAAGTGTCTTTGGATCTTTGCTACAAGGCACTCGGTCTTGAAATTCGAGCTACCATAAGACGGGTCTTAAAAGTTCCTTTCGCAGGGTTCAGTTCTTCTAGAGTCTAGAGATACTATTCAGAACAAACAAGCATGACAGTGCTTTTTGCAGTTCTAGATTTAGGGTTTAGGTCTGCACACTAGCCCAAAAAAGGTTAACCTTTTGAATTATGCTAGGATTATATAAGCCCCAAAAGGTTAAAGGTTACCTACTCAGCCCCTAAGGGAAATTCGTGCAAACCAGCAGACCTGAACCTAAGCCCTGCAAGGCTGCCTGCGCTGGGGCCATGAGCGGACCGCCAGCTCGAAGCGCCTGATATTTCGCGAACACTTTCAGGGCGAGAACGAGGAGCTACTACTACTACTACTACTACTACTACTACTACTACTACTGCTACTACTACTGCTACTACTACTGCTACTACTCCTGTTACTACGCTACTGCTACTACTACTCCTCCTCCTCCTGCTGCTGCTGATCCGCCTATTGCGACTGAACTGCTCACAGGCATGAAGAATCATCACGCGAGCAATGTTGGCCAACGAACAGTGCATTGCAACATGCACAACATGAAGGCAATTCCGAACAAGTTTTCGGACAGCTTGAGCAAACCCATATGCAACACCACAACCTTGTACTGCTCAGAGTGCTACGACGGCTCTCTACAACAGCAGAAAAGCTTTCGATCGCAACAAAACCAGCAGCATGACCTTGACAGCAAGAAACCAAAATCAGCAATTGCATGACGATGAAAAAGGCATACAATGCATTGTGAAGTGCTTAACAGCTTAACAACGCCCGGCAGACGAAAAAACACAGCACTGCTGGGGCATCAGTTGGCAAAAACCAATACCAGACAAGCTATCACAACAGCAGTGGTAATTAAATCACAGAGAATCCGCAACAAGCAGCCAAGCTGCCTGAATAGCCAATACCGGTGAACGATACGACCTGGCCCTTAACCCCAAACCCTAAACCCCCAAACCCCTAAACCCTAAACCCTAAATCCTAAACAAGTGTTTGGCGCCCACTGGGGCAAACGACTATCGGTAGTGACTAGAGATACAAAGACGGTAGCTATTCTTACATATACTTGTAACCCGAAGTAAGGTATGTATGACCTGACTTACTAAGTCCCCTGATCCTCCGAGTAACCCTCCTCCAAGCTGAACCTCAAACCCTAAACCCCTAAACCCTAAACACCCAACGTCTTGAACCCTGCAGGCCCAAAGCCCTGCACCCAAAACGCTGAGCTCTGAACCTTCAGCCCTAAGCCCCCCTAAGTTTAGGGTTTAGGGTTCCCTAAACCCTACACCCACTACTACACCCTAAGCTCTAAACTCTAAACCTTCAACCCTAAGCCCCCTTAAATCCCAAACCCTACACCCAGCACTGCGCCCTAGACTCGAAGCTCTAAACTTTACCAGACTTTCCAAAATCCCGTGATTAAGGAATATACCTTCAACAGCATTAGGGATCCTACAATATCTTAAGGTAGACTCGTTAACTCTTATAGTACCCATATAGAAACCGTTATAGATCCCTTTAAGGAACCCTTTAAGATATATTCCTCAATTACAAGATTTTGGAAGGTCTGGGCACAAACCTTAAACCCTAAACCCTACTGCAAACTCTAAGCTCTAAACCAAGAAAAGTAAGTAAACTATCAAGACCTATAAGGGGCTACTCTGGGCTCTTCTTCTACAATACTTTTCGGGGTCCAGGTATGCTCAAAGCCTTCACAAATATACCCCCAAACCCTAAACCCTAAACCCTAATCCCTAAACCCTAAACCCTAAACCCCAAAGAGGCCTCTGGGCCGGCAGGAGACAAGGCACCCAAACGGCCTGTTGCAGCTTTCGGGCTCTTCTCTTTGCGGATGCCAGGCGCAGGGCTTAGGGTTTAGGGTCTGGAGTTTAGGGGTTTAGGGTTTCGGGTTTCGAGTTTAGGGGTTTAGGGTTTAGGAGTTTAGGGTTTAGGGTTTAGAGGGTTTAGGGTTTCGAGTTTAGCTCCAAACCCTTCAAAACAACCCAGGCGTTTAGAACACCTTTGCCAGCGCGGGTTGGGCCTTTGTGTAGGAACGTTTCCCGAAAATGACGAACCCTTTAGGGTTTAGGGCTGTTTCGAGTTTAGGGAAAGTGGTGAAACCCTAAACCCTAAACCC